GCTTAAATATTGAAGGGTAAATTTGCTCAATATCAGAAATAGAGCGTATGTAAATATCAAAGTGGTCACCTAGGTCCAGGAGATAGCAGGCACTTCATATATGAAATAGATGCTCAATAAGGAATAGGAAACTGAGCTGATATCAAGCTTTCCAGAAAGTAATCGTGGCTGAGCGATAGAGCACTCCATATAAAATTGTGGTTTCTCCTACGAAAGAGGAAGGGTTTCGTTTCCTGTTTGGAAACGTATTTTCTTCACTAACATAGTGAAGAAAATACGTTTCTTGAATGCTGATTCCATCGATAAAACTATTAGCCCGAAAATGTTATTTTTAATTTTCTTATACAATCTTATCTAAATTTCTAAATCTACCCCCCATATATGGATAAAAATGAGAACATTTAATTTTATTTACTAAAGTACATATATATATATATATATATATATATATATATATATATATATATATATATATATATATATATATTTTTTTTTTAATATAATTTCTCATTTAATCTAATATTTTTTTCCCTTTCGGTAGATAAATTATATAAAAGCTGTCCAATTGTTCTTTTTTCCGAGCGCTTTCGGCTATACATTTATCCAATTTCCAGGTTGAACTATATTTACTGTTAACAAGAAATATGTATGTATTTATATAATGTTTTTATTTTCAAAAAACGGTCAAGATATTGTGTCCATGTTCATATTTGATATTATTGAGTGTTGTTTTGTTTTGTTTTTATTAATAAGGCTTTCATTCTTTTTGTGTTGTCAACAAATATGTTACGAAAAGTGTCCAGTAGGTCTCCATGAGTATTTAGACCTAATTGAGCTATTGTCAGAAAGATGTAGTGTGAGTCTTCGTGTCCAACATGTTGTAGTGTGTTTACGAATTTTGATTGATCAGGAGTACAATTCTTTAATGGACATTTAAATTCGTAAATAATATTTGTTCTATTTAATTTTGTTCTTGGAGGTTAATTACTTTTAACTATAAAGTTAGAGGTTTTAAATTTTTGTAATAAATAATTACTTCAATTTGTTTGCTATTGTGTAAGGATTGCTACCTAAATACATACATACATACATGCATACATATATATATATATATATATATATATATATATATATATATATATATTATTAACAATAATAAACTAGATAAAAACAGATACATAATACTACCTATAATTCCATAATATCCATTATCCAAAACAATGTGTCCAAATTGAACAATATGAAAATAATTGCAAGCACATCCAAAACTATTCTGGATATGATCAGAATCAAAAAAATATCCATAACAATAATAATTCTTAAGGAATTATATAAAAAATAAATTGCCTGAATTTTTCCTCACAATACATTGGGAAAACTTGCAGAAATTCAAACGTATCTATGAACATAAAAAAGTCTATATACACAATAATTTATCACATTTGTCATCCATAGAAATAAATTCAACCACAACTTTGATGTAGCGAATAAAGCTGTTATTAAAAGAGAGAGTCAGAAGGAGAATTATGGAATGTGCTACAATTGAATATTATCAAAATATAAATCTGCGGCCCGGATTCTTCCTAATATCACCTTTCCTGAAATCATTATCCCAAGCCAAGACAAGTATAAATAAATTTTTAAAAAACGTTTAAATACATAACGTCAGCTTATTCGAAAAATATAACACATAAATCAATCTCAATCCTAAATAATTTGAATACTAATTTAAATGTATATACATATAAAAAAAAAATATCACCTACTCACTTTTGTTTGCTAGGCATTGAACTATATCACCTCACGTTCATGAACTTGCTTGACTTTTCTACTGACCTGCTGAATATTCATGAGCACTGCTATACCAAAAGATTTTGAAAAACCAATAACACTTTCGCTCTTCTCACGGAGTAATGGATAGCGGCTCGGATTGAGGAATCGGAGAGCCGAGTTCGAATTCCAGTCGAATCCATTACATCCACTTACACGCTAATACCCTTGGGAAAGGTATGAATCCTCTTCTTCACCCCCAGTTATGGGTAAATAGCAGAACAGTCCAGGTTCTATGTCCTTGGGTGGCAATTGGTCTACGAAAAGAAATGGCAACCTACTATGGGGAAAAAAATCTTCCTCGTCAGTCATGTATCAAAAGATACATGATCGCCTAAGCGCATATCACGCATGGCACATAACTGATTGATATAAATACTTGTCACAGAAAAAATCCTTATATTTACCTAGATAAAGTCCTTCAGAGGATGAAACGCGTCTACTAAGATAGGTTTTCCTTTATTATTCATATAAAGGCGTGTATCTGTGTTATATATATATATATATATATATATATATATATATATATTATTGGAATTGCAAGGCCAATTCCTTTGTTTTTGTTATCTACTGAAGATATTTGGGTTTAAGATCAAAAGATGAATATGAGGCAAGAGTACATAATTTCAGCTTTTATTTCCTCGTATTAACATTTAAATGAGTTAAACACCTTAAGACATGCCCCTTTTTGTATCAGTCACCCCCTTTTTAGGTGAGTAAAAATGAAGGAGCACTTAAAGTAAATAACATTTAATATTTAGTTGCCTGACCCTTAACTTGCAATAACTGCATCAAGTCTACGATTTATTAACAATACCAAACTGTTGCATTCTTCATTTGTGAAGCTTTTCCAAACTATAAAGTTCTTGCTTATTTCAGACGTTTTCTTCCTTCAGTCGGCTCTTTTCTGTTCTATTGGGTTAAGTTCTAGTCCACTGGCCAAATCGACCACTGGAATCGATTTGGATTGTCCACTTTTTCCTCTGATGAAGTCCTTTGTTGTGTTGGCACTATGTTTTAGGTCATTCTCCTGTTTCATGGTAAACTTCCTCCTGGTTAGTTTGGATAGATTTCTCTGTAAATTGGCAGACAAAATGCTACTGTAGACTTCTGAATCCATTCTGCTGCTACCATGATGGGTTATATCATTAATAAATATGAATTAGTCTGTTCCAGAAGCAGACATGCAACCCCAAGAACAAGACACTGTCCCCATCATGCTTCACAGATGAGTTTCTATGTTTTGGATTCTAAGCAGATCCTGTCTTTCTCTACACTTTGGCCTTTCCATCACAAATGCAAATTCCAATTTGGCTTTCTGATTCTTACTGTTGGTGAATGGTTTGCAAGTTGTGGTATGGCCTCTCAAAGTCTTCTTTGTGGATTTTGAATCCTTTATCCCTGTACTGTGGAGGTTGTTGGCAATGTCACTGACTGTTGGTTTGGGGATTTCTTCACAGCTCAATATTTTTGTCATCAACTCCTGCTGTTTTCCTTGGCCGACATGTTCTGCGTACATTAGTTTCTCTCTGTTTCGGGACATTTGAAATCAATGCCTTACCTATGCCCAATGGCTCTGATAGATTTCCGTCCTTTTCTCAGCTTCAAAATGGTTTGTTTTTATTTTCGTTCATCCTTTTTAACAAGAAATGCAGTCTTTACGTGGGAAACTCAAGACTAAGACCAAGATTAGTCATTCAGAACTATTAAATATTTAAACAATCTAACAGCAACACCTGGGCAACAAGAAACACTCGTCAGACACGGGTTCTATAGTTTTGCTTACTTGAAAAATGAGTGAGTTAAACCAAAAGGTGATATGTCCTTAGTTGTTTAACATATATAAATGTAAATACCAGGAAATTAAAGCTGAAATTCTGAACACTTGTCTCATCTTTTGATCTTAAACCCAAATATCTACAGTGATAACAAAAATGGAATTGGCCTTGCCGTTCCAATTCAATTCATATATATATATATATATATATATATATATATATATATATATATATATATATATATATATATATATGGAGGCGGGATGGCGGACATTCTGATCAGGAGATTGGAGATTTTGAGGTGCGTGGAACCCCTCTTCATTGCTGCTGTTCCCAGTTTCACCCTGGCCCGAGGTGGTAGCACTTGTTTGGGTCCCAGCTATGGGCAAATAGCGACCTCCTCAAACAAAACACTACGGATGTATAAAAATACATTTTTATATTAAAATTACCAACGATACATATTTATAGCAAAATTACCAACAATACATTTTATCTGTAGTTGAAGTCATAAAATTGCATTCAAAATATTGAAATAAAATAAAAGGACTCTTTCATGACATTAATTCATACAACATCCTCAATTGTTACAAATCAAACTGTATTCCAAAATATAACTTTCAACAAAACTATAACATAAAACAAACATCCACACAAACATGTAAATGCACAAAAAGCTGAGTATCATCTACCATGTATTCAGTTGTGAAAGCAGAATAACATATGTCATATGTTTATTACTTCAAAGCTCGCAAGGTAATTAAATTTTGGCATTAAATGACCCATGAAGGAGTTGATATACCGTTAAACAAACAAAGCAAACAAACAATAAATCGATTCGCAAGAACATTCTCTCTTTAAGGGAAGTATTCTATACACTTCCCCCTGCACAATGAGGGCCGCTTCGAGCTACTAACGCTTCAAGCCTTTGAGCAGGCATCTAGTTAGTGAGAAGAGAGTTGACATCGAAGGTACGCCGTCGGTAATTCATTCTGAAAATCCACCCAGTAATAGTAGATGATAAACGTGTATGAAGTGTAATGTCAAAACACACATAGACGCGTGCGCGCATAAACGTTGCGGTTTTGTGTAGAACACACATGCTCACTCATACCCACCTGGCACACACACATACACACGCACATACATACATACATAGCAATCGAGTTTTGTCATCAATCAATCATTTTGATTCACCTTTCTTTGCCGACCTGAAATATTTCGCCGGTGATCAGCGGGCATTCACACTCTGCCGATCCAAATTCGAATTAGAAAATTTTTTCCTTCATTTCTTTCTCTTTCTCCTCCTGTCTTCTTCTTCTTTTTTTTTTTTTTTTTGGACGATTTTATTTATCTCAATTTTATTTTATTTTCGTTTTTAGCCAGTTTTAGTCTTCTTTCCTTTCTTTCCTTCTTTTCTTTGTTTCTTTGTTTCTTTCTTTACTTCTTTTTTCCTTCTTTCTTTCTTTATTCCTTTCTTTCTTTCTTTCTTTTTCCTTCTTTCTTTTTCTTTCTTTCTTTACTTCTTTCTTACTTTCTTTTTCCTTCTTTCTTTCTTTCTTTTCTGACTACCCAATTCTTCATTTACTTTTTCTAAATTCTTCTTACTTACCCCTTTTTCTTACTTCGTCTTCTTTCTTTCTTCCTTTCTATTTTTCTTTCTTTCTGACTACTTAATTCTTCTGTTTTTTTCTTCTTTTGTCTTCTTGCTTTTTTCTTTTTCTTTTGTTCTTTTCTGAAGATCTAATTCTCCATTTTCTCTTTTTTCTGAATTCCTCTTTTCCATCTTTCTTTCTTTCTTTCTTTCTTTCTTTCTTTCTTTCTTTCTTTCTTTCTTTCTTTTCTGACTACCTATTCCTTGTTTATTTACCGTTTTTCTGAATTCTCCATTCGCCGTCTTTTTTGTTCCTTCGTTTCCATTCTTTCTTTCTTTCTTTCTTTCTTTCTTTCTTTCTTTCTTTCTTTTTAGCCTATTCTTTCTCAGCGATTAATTGCTATTCCCCTTTAAAATTTTCTTCTTTATCCTCCATCTTTACTTTTTCTCTCACTTCCCAGTACCAGACTGCAATTTTTTTTCTACCCACTTCTTTTTGCTTCCTCTTCTTTTATTCTCGTCTTTCCTTCCGTAAATCCTCCTCTCCTTTCTGCACTCCTGTCCAACTCCAGTGTTCCCTCAATATTACTCTGCAGTTTTACGCATGTGGCTGCATGTGCTGCATGTGGCTGCATGTGCTGTATTCATTTAAACTAACCCCTTCTTCTATGTTTGCCCGTGTGGCAATGCTTCATTGCGTGATCGTTCAACAGTTGTGTGTTCATATATCCTTTTGTGTGTGTGTAGCAAAGTTAAAGTTTGTTTATCTCCAAATACGTGTTCATGGCTATATATTAGTTTTTATTAATGTGCTTGTATAAGATTACAATCCTTTTTGTAACTGGACAATTGCATATGCATCTGTACAACTATCATTGTTAGTTTATGAAACTGTGTATGACAACGGGTGTGTGTGTCTGTTTTTTTTTCTTACACAATCCTCTCTCATACATTTTGACTGACATTCTGTCCGTAGATATTTATTACCATTTTACAAGTACAAAAATGTAGTAACTAAATTGTGAATTAAAGCTGAGAGAAATGTGATATTAAATCGCAATAAACATTACATTTAAATGTGTTACCAGCCCATCAAATGACGGCTGATGTGGGATCGAATCCTTTCAACGAATGCTGAAGACTCAATTTGTAAACTTTATTTTGACACATTGAAAATCTGCTAAATTTGATCCCCTTATCTTCCCTTAGCCTTATGTTAACTTAATTTAAGCCCCCGTATGAAATTTTTTCTTGGTCAATTTATTTTTGCTATTGTTTCACCTTGTATTTTTTATAACTTTCCTTTTTATCGTTGTCTATCTGTCTATCTGGATGTACTGATTCCATATCAGAAAATATAGTCGATCTGATAAGATGAATATAACTATATTTATGGAAATAAATTTATTACCGAATATGGATATTTAAGTTTTTTTTTTATATATACATACATGCATATATATATATATATATATATATATATATATATATATATATATATATATATATATAAAATTGATTTAAAATATGTTTTTTTTCCGCTACACAGTTCTAACCATGTTTCAAAAATAAGAACACCGGATTATACATCTTACTGTTCTTTCTTTATATATATATATATATATATATATATATATATATATATATATATGTTACAAAATCCAAAATTACCTCATATGGGGATAGAAACTATTTCAACCAACGCGAAGTAGTACATGAGTCTTATTCAACCCCGGTGTATGGATTGTATTCTGTGTTGAAATTAGAGATTTAAAGTATGTCTTTAACAGCAGTCGAAACAATGATACAGAACCTACCCAATTCGATGCCTCAGCCAGACGAAATGCTCGAGTTGGTCGTAGGGGAAGGCGAAAGGTATCAGTCCTAAAGGGAAGAGGCTACTGTGTCTGTATATATATATATATATATATATATATATATATATATATATATATATATATATATATAGAATCCCTCATATCCGGAGTGTCTCATATCCGGACATGATTTTGATGTGTATATTTGAACTATTTGGTAATATGTAACTGATTCGGAATTTCTGTTTTTCAGAAAATTTACTTTGGATAATTGCTTCTGATTCTTTCACCGTAATGGCTTGTATTGGTGCAAAAGATGATGGGAATAAAAGGAAAAGAACAACTTTGGAGTTATCGCAAAAAGAGGAAATTTTAAACAGACTAGACGCTGGTGAAAGACCATTGTAACTAATGGCTGAGTTCAACATAGGAAAGTCAACATTGTATGATATAAAATCTTCCAAAGTAACTATTCTCCAGCGTTCACACTGTTACAATGAACAAGAAAATAAAAAATCATGATTGTGATAAAACCTGGACTGAAGTTAAAAAAGCTATTGAAAAGGTTGTCAGTTTTATGGAAAGAAAGCCAGCATTCAGCTATGACGATTGCAATAACGCACGCAGAGTTAAGAAGTGTCTTACGTTTAAAAAATTTCAAAAACAAAAGCAAAACGAAATGCGGAAAAGGTTGAGACTGATAGAAAAGAAAGAATCATCATGCAACAGCGATTAAAAAAATCCTCGTTACATTATTTGTTTTGCATACGTGGCATACTTAATTTAATGAATTTTCATTACCATTACATAATTCATTTATTTTTCCTTAAACTCAATTCCGTTATATTTCACTCACAATTAGCTTATTTACTTTACTATAAAACACTGAAAATAAATGTTAAATCTAATTTCTGTTCTTTTATTTTAATAATAAAACCCTTCATATCCGGACTTTGTAACAATTCCTCATATCCGGAAGGCCTTCTTAGTCCGGTTGTCAGGAATTCTACTATATATATATATATATATATATATATATATATATATATATATATATATATATATATATATATATATGTTCCATGATACAATGCTGTTAAGTTTCGCATTGTGTTTCAAACAAAATTTGCGTTCTCTTCAGTAAGGATCATTTGTCCTATTATCAGAAAAATTTAGTTGTATACAAATTCAAATGCCGATGTGACGCGGGGGTCGGAAATGCAGATTGCACAACGTTCCCGCCTATTTGCGTTCAAGTAGTTGAAACCAAGTTTTAAGAATTACACAAGCAGTCCACGATTCGTTGATTGGGTAGCATTTGCTGGACAATCTTGATTTTGCCGCTGAGTATGAGAACACATAGTTTTCTGTTCTACGGAGTGCTTGCTCGGTTTACAACCTCCGAGTCCTTGAGGCTGTGTACATCAAATTTTACCAGCCGGGCTCATGTAGACAAAAGGAGTATTTCATGCGTCCATTACGATTGATCGAGGGACTGCGAGAGTCTTTTTCCATTTTTATACTTTTGTGGAACGTGTTAATTATTTTATTCGTTAATTATTTACAATTAAAATTTATTTTAAACGCGTTCCAACTTTTCCCTCCTCATTCGTTATTGTAGTGTCTTACCAACGATTACATTTGAAAAAGCGTTGACCGAAAGGATTGTAAGTGTTTAAAATGACGTCAATTTTGTTCAAATCTCTCTCTCTGTCTGTATATATATATATATATATATATGTAAGCAAATATATGGATATAAATCCGACAGTATGAAAGAAAAATACAGAAAAAACAAAATTCTGAATATGCATTATTAATGTTAAAATAAAGTCGACGTCGGACGTTTCGGTCTATTTAAGACCATCTTCATGGACATTTTCATTTAAACATAATTAACATTATAACTTATAACAATTTAACACAAAAGACGATGGACATAAGAACCCAACTAATTCAAACAGACAACTGAAATTTTATACAGATCAGCGTTCTGTTTAAATATGATCACGTAGTCGTCTCGTGGGCGATGTTGTTAAGACGTATTCGAAGATGATTTCCAAAAATTAAAATATCAAAAAGTCGATTGAAAAATTTTTATAAAAAGTTAAAGAAATCTCTTCCGTTGATGTTGGAATACGTAGTGAAACAATTGGTTCTTATATTTTTTTATTCTTATGTCCATCGTCTTTTGTGTTAAATTGTTATAAGTTATAATGTTAATTATGTTTAAATGAAAATGTCCATGAAGATGGTCTTAAATAGACCGAAACGTCCGACGTCGACTTTATTTTAACATTAATAATGCATATTCAGAATTTTGTTTTTTTCTGTATTTTTCTTTCATATATATATATATATATATATATATATAGAGAGAGAGAGAGAGAGAGATGTAAAGATCTGCGTGTTTGTGCGTGTGTGCATTTGACTATTCATATATAAGCTGCAAGTGGTATTAATTAGTTTTATGGCATCTACACGCCCTTACCGATTAATATTTATCCGAAGTCTTCAATAATTTTTATATATAACATCAGGATAGCCTAGATTATGTGTTCATTCTGCTGATTTGCTTTTGCATTCAACCGTTTTGTTTGTGTGTTTTGTCCATTGGACACACATGGCGAGCATAAAATAGGAAATTAAGCCGGCGCACGTATATTGTATTCATTCTCAATATGAATAAAGCTGAATATGGATCGAAAAGAGACCGCTACCCCGCCACATATATTCTCTCTCTCTCTCTCTTTCTCTCTCTCTCTCTCTCTCTCTCTCTCTATATATATATATATATATATATATATATATATATATATATATATATGTAATTCTGTTATAAATCTAAATCTTTTTCATATCTGTGTCAGCTTGTTCACATGTATCTATCTCAGTCTATTCATATCTATCTATCTATCTATCTATCTATCTATCTATCTATCTATCTCTCCATCTATCTATCTATCTATCTATATATATATATATATATATATATATATCAGTCTACTCATATCTATTTGTATATCTATCTCAGTTTGTTCACCACTCTCTCTCTATACACACACACACATATATATATATATCAGTCTATTCATATTTAACTAGCTCAGTCTACTCATATCTATGTTCATAAAATTTTGTTTTAAAATTTAATTTCTGTACCCTGTTTGGATTTAGGAATATCCGTGTGCCTGCGCATGTATGTACTTTTCCCTTTATATATATATATATATATATATATATATATATATATATATATATATATATATATGTGTGTGTGTGTGTGTGTGTGTGTGTGTGTGTGTGTGTGTGTGTGTGTGTGTGTGTGTGTGATTTTGAAACGATTCATTGCATTTTTTAATCCAACATTATTTTCTCGTGTATAAAGTTTTGTGGCTACACAGGTTTTAATAGACAAAGGAAGTGCATTTTCTTT